TGCCAAAGTCAGGGATTAAAATGTGTCATCTGTCATCTGTCATCTGTATTTATGCGACATCCTCATCCTGGCTCGATTTGGTTTGATGTTTGGAGGCTCAAAGTGATGAATATCCAAGGTGCAAAAATTAAAGTAAACTTAAAAAGTTCTCAGAAAAATAAATACTCAAGTAAAGTACAGATACCTGAAAATTCTACTGAAGTACAGTAACAAGTATTTGTACTTTGTTTGTCTGCCATCTCTCAGTTGCCAATAACTTCAAGGAGGAAACTCCTGGAGGAACAAGGGAGGAGGGAGAAAGCTGAAAAGAACCTGGAGAACATTAAAGCAAAGGTTTGGATTTGTTATTTGTTATTTATTTGTCATATGTGTGTTTGTGTTCCTATTAAATGTCTCTTTATCTCTGTATTGTAAAGAGTTATGAAAGAGATTATTTTGTTTATTTGTTAACAAATGTCTGAAACAGGAACTTTTTCTATACATTGAACAAAATTATAATTCATGTTGTTATTCAAAGAAAGTACTGACTTGCAGAAATGTAGCAACTTTCTTCTTTCATTTAGTTATTTCATGTATTTATGATTATAGAATAGAATAAAATAGAATCGCCAGTTTGTTGTCATTCGGAACAGTTAGTGCGCATCAGAATGAAATTCCAGTGCATTTACTCGTCATCGAATATAAAAATAAATAAAGCAGCAGGTAGCACAGTGCATGGTGGGGGTGGGTGGAGTCTCTGATGATGTTATGGACTCTGCTGAGACAGCATCTGTGCTCGACATCCTGGATGGATGGAAGAGAAGTCCTGATGATCTTCTCTGCAGTGATTTCCTCTCTGAGGCCTTGAAGCTGTCAAACCAGATGAAGAAACAGCTGCTCAGCACACTTTTAATGCTGCCTCAGTAGGAAGTGGAGATGATGGAGGAGAAAGCTGTGCTCTCCTCATCCAAAATGCAAAGTGCAGAGACTGCCGAGACTGTTTAACCAGTGCTGTTTAATGACCATTCCAGGCTGTCAGTTATCTAAAACCATGAAACATGGCACAGTGGCATGGTGGTTAGCACCATTTCCAAGAAGCAAGAAAGTCTTGTGTTCAAATCCACCATCTGGATTTGCATGTTCTTCCCGTGTCTGCACGGGTTCTGTCCAGATAATCTGGCTTCCTACCACAGTCCAAAGACTTGCAGTTAGGGAGGTTAGGTTTACAGATTACTCTGAATTGCTCATAGATGTGAATGGTTGTTCTCCTCTGTGTTTATTGAGGAGTAATAGGTGAGGGGTGGTTCTTTTAGGTTCAGCAGCTAACAAGATGGTGTGTCGGTCAGAACACAGGAAGGAGGACAAGAGGCTTCCACTTTGCTGAACTGTCACAGTCAGCTGGTTTATCGTCACTTCAGTGCTCAATGTTGCCAATAGTCTGTAGTAAATAATAAGTTGCCATTTGACCAAATATATTACAGCAACACTGGTTCAACTAATATAAACTCAAAATATAAAGTAAGATAAAGTTACACATCCATCTATCCATATAATGTCCATGACATAATATATAAACCAATAAATATTACATTACTAGGTTCAAACTTAGAGAACTCAGATTAGACACAGTGGTAACGTCATACTACAAGCAGAGACATTCGTCTCTAACCATCATTAAATGCGCCATCGTGTGGCTGAATAAAATTACTACACTATGGCGGCACATGCCTTATTTACCACATGAAAACGCGCTATAGCCAATGTTCCCTCTAAGCTGTGCACATGTGCAATCGCGCACTGCTGGCACGGTCTCTGCGCACAAAAAAAATCTAACCTGAATTGAAATTAAAATAAATACTTTAACAATTCATTCTGTTTTCCAGTGTGAGTCAGTAAGTGACCGGTGACTGGCTGCTCCAGCCAATGATGCGATTCACATTCGCATATAAGCAGCTAATCAAC